ATGTACTGAACATTCCTTAAATTGAATGAAATCTGATGAACGTTGAAAATCATTGATAATTAGCGCGTCTCTCGCAGATCTTTTTCTAATTTTTGTCTAGTCATTTTAATTTAATGCAAAATACAAAGTTATTATTACAGAGTTAGTCATCATTATTTAATTATTTTATTTTTATGAATTTTTATTAAAACGATACCTTTTTTGGGGAACCTTATGTTACTTCTCGTGAAGTTGTCGAGTAGGCAACTTAAACTTTTGCAACGATTTTTCCACACGTATCTCATGATTACATATTGAATTGATTTTTAGCAATAAAAATATAATATAATTGAAATGAAAATATAATTTCTGATCCCGATTCGTAATTCTGTAAGTCGAAAACTCGCACGACTCGAAGGAAGAACTAACATAATTTATTGCATTATTTATTTATCTGCGAGGTCATGAGAAGAAAAGGATAATTGCCGAGGATATTGCAGATTATTTTTTACAGCATGCACGACAATCGTTTGAAGTATCATTTTATTATTTTAACTTATCATTTATGTACGTATACTTGCATCTTCTTATTAGCCGACAGGCCTGCTCTTATTATATGCACACAAATTTCAATTGCGCATGCATATTAGTAGACTCCGCATTCTTCCGTCCGGCTACAGTGATGTTATTTACGAGCGACTTCTCAATTATGTTTTGCGCACTGTTATCTATAATTACTCGAAGCGGTTTTTGCCTTTCTAAATTAGTATTATTATTTGAAGAGTTTCACTTTTGTATACTTTACAAACGCTTTGCGATACAGTAAACTCTATTCATATCTGATAGCATGATTATCGATAACATGATTTTAAAAATATAAGCTTATCAACAATATGATTTAAAAAAATCTTGATTATAATGACAATTAAAATTACAATTAAAATAGAGAAAATTCCTTGTACTCATTTTCCTATTATATAAAATTGTATTATCTTATTTTATAAAAAAAGTAACAAGTATTTAACGTTTTTGTTAATATATATTCCAATTTTTATTAAACAAATTTTTTAGAGTTAGTTTTTTAGAATTCATAATGAATTGAAATATTTTTATATACTTATTTAAATTTACAGATAATGTGCAAATACATAAATGATGATTAGATTTCCTAAATTGTGATACCAATTGTGATGAGTTGAGTTTAATACTGTATCTTCTTTTATTTTTATATGTTTGGTATGTTCGTACTATAATTTGCAATCAATCTTTCGTTTGATCTTGCATAACGAAAAACATAACTTATTTTTCTTCTGTACTTTCTATTAATTTGGTGGATGGTTCAATCTACCTGTGGTCTTCTTGTTTCCAATCATCATGGGAATTCTATGAATTGGGATATTGTCACACTTAGTAAGTACTTCGTAGACCGCTTTTTCGCTCGCAATTGCGTATATAATAACAACTACTTATCCGCAATTTAAAGATAAAATACGTGCGATATTAAAACGTCTTACTAGAAGAGCGTGAATTCAGCGGATACATTAATTCTAATTAGTATAAGATTGATTAACTATAACATTTATTAAGTGTAATATGTACAAATTATCTGACACTTTACATTGTAATCAAATTAAGTTAATTATGATTAGAAAAATAGAAAAAGTATTTTATCATAGAGAATTAAATTAAAATTTATTACGTCGAGGATTGAGGAGATTTATATAAAATAATAGAGTTTTGAAATGATATAAAATTAAAATTATAGTTTAAATAGAATTTATATTAAAATTAATATTCAACAAGAAAACAAAATAAAATTAATGTACTATTATAAATACCAATAATTTTGTGAAATTTTAGATTTTATAAATGTGAAATTATGTTTACTAAAAATTAGTTTAATTTTTTTATGTTGTGATTTAAATAAAATATCTTATACTTGGAATTAACGTTTCCGAAATCTGTGTTCTCGCATACGCTATTGCTAAAAGTCTATCTCGTTCATTCGCTGAATGATACGCTTTTGGGATTTGTTTCATGCGAACGACAGAAGTTGATCGAGGTGTGCATAGCTTTAAAGGTCTGTCCTTTATATAATCGCCAAGTCACTTACCAATTAACCCTTTTGGTGCTTATTGAATGCTTACAAGTACTCGACTTGCTTGCCTTCTTTACGACTTCTTTATATGCAGTAGTAAATAGAAGCAGGTAATCGCTTCTTTGAGAATAAAATTGCATCAATTCGATTATTTTATAGGAAATCAAATTGAAGGAATCCCTACATTTACTACTCGATAAACGAATTAATTAAATAAATCTAATTTGTAAAGCTGAAAACTTTTGAGAGTCTATATAACGTAGATATTAAATATTTATAGAATTTTAAATCTAGTAGCATCAATATAAAAATGTATGAATTTCTTGAAATTTATGAATTCTGAAAACAAAGGGAAAGTAAATTTTAATTATTTATTAAATTTTATTTTTTACCAATTCTTTTAAATCTTTCAGTACCAAAAGGGTTAAATATTATTCCCATTTCTGAAATAATTTGTTTATATTTTTTTTATCATGTTATAGAGAATACATTTTATTTTTCTTATCGCTTAGAACAACGAGTGATATTAAATATTGAAGTTGTTCATCAATATTAATTTGTATATGCTAGTTTTTACTAACAATTCGCAGATCATTAACGAAATGAGTTATTCTTGCAACAAAATATGTTCTCAAGCTTTCTCATTTTTCTTCTGTTACCTTCCTGAGACTCAGACTGTAATATATTGAGAGACTGTAATATATTGAGAGAAAAGAAGAAAAAGAGAGAAACTCATATTTTGTAATTATATAATTGCAATTTTATTAAAATATTCTAATTTATTACTGTTATATACATTAATATTAATTATTACAGTAATTAACTTAATACATTTTGTCTATGAATTTTATTATAGAGGATTCGCCTCAAAGAAATTTTTGGGTCTCAGGAATATAATTGACAATTTTAAAGGAATCAATATTTATTAAAATAAATTCCAGAATAATGTGCCTGGTTATGGTGACGGTGCCAAGGAGGATTGTAGCGATCTACCACCAAATCAGCGGAAGAAGCGATTGCAACAGCGATTGGACGAGATTCAGGCGAAAATTCAGCAGGAGACTGCTGCAAGGGATGGTCTGATGAAGATGAAAGGAGTATATGAGCAGAATCCCGCTTTAGGAGACCCGATGAGTATAGAGGGACAATTAAATCAGTCTAGTAATAAACTAGACAAGCTCGGAGCTGAATTGGCAAAGTTTCAAGGCTACCTCGAAGAAGCAATGCGTGCTGGCGCCAGTTTGTCTAGGTAAATGAAACTTTGCTAAAACTATGAAAAGATCTGTGCTGATATTCGCTATTAACTAAATAAAAATGAGAAATTTATATAATAGCAATAATATATGTGTTATTTAATTTTAAATTTATCAAAGAGACAAGGTAATAATGTGATGTGCTTTTAGCCCAAGTCAAGCAATGCGAAAACCTACTACTAATGGTTCGGCAACGAGGCCGTTGAGTTCACGAAGAGGAAGTCATTCGGGTGGCGAAGAAAGCCTTTCGAGATCCGCTTCTGACTCGAGCGTTTGTAATGCGAACGCCAATCAGCCGGTTCACAAGAAGAGTGCACCAGGCACACCGCAACCAACTCATGGGTAAGTTATCTCGTTGACATAGGATGGGGTAATGCACAAGTCACATCATACACTTTGAAAATTTCGGAACTTTTAAGAAATCCATAAAATTTTCAGTTTTTATACATTTTATACGTTTTATATATTTATTATATTTACTTTATTATATTTTATCATTTTTTTTCTTTTTATTACTATTATTTTATTATTTTTATTATTATTAATTTATTTTTAGATTCCATTAGTATACTGATTACTTTGTAGATTCCTCGTGTTTCATAATTTTCGATCTCCATAAATCTAAAAAATCCAAGAAATTTGCAATCTTCGGTAATGCAGTCTTCAGCTTTTATGCAATCATTCTTATCTTATCGGAATATAATCAACAGAGATAATACAGAAAGTGTTTTACTACATGAGTTATTGTCATTTGTTTCACAAATTATTAGTATGACGAATTGGAATTCTGCTACGTTTATAATCATTTGTAGAAGCAAATTAAATCGCGATCTAGTTGTGCAGTCTTTTTCGCGAAAACGTTTGGTTTGCGATGTTTAGTAGATTAGACACTTCACACTAGACAAATAGCCACGGTTTTCGCTTTATGGTACTGATGCACAGTTCCACGAACAGCCCGGAATCTGGTCTCGGCGAGTCGAGAACGTCGCTACCCGGTAGTGGTGAGGAATATTATCATGACGAAGTGGATGCTCAGCCACCATTGGGAACATGTAGAGCACTTTATCCTTTCGACGGTAAGTCCTTCCGAATGAGAAGATATATGATCTCTATTTTTTATGACAGTATTAGGAACGAAGATAAAAATGTTGAAGTCCGAAAGAGATAAAAAACTGTAAACGATCATTTTCTTGTTGTAATAATCGTTATTATTTTATTTACAGCGACTAGCGAAGGTTCCATACCAATGTACGATGGCGAAGAGCTGTATATGATCGAATTAGATCAGGGAGACGGGTGGACTAGAGTACGACGCATCTCGCAGCCGATTGAGGGTTTTGTGCCGACTTCGTATATAGAGTGTCACTTATACAACACTTAGCCGCTTCTCCTAAGTTGTTAAAGGAGAACTGCGTGACGCAGAATCGCTCGAAGGAGATTATCGAAGGCGCGTAAAGTATTTGGTCGAAGAGGGTCATGTGTTGGATGAATTGGTACGTGATATTGAGACATCAACGGCGGATCAACGGCCTAATCAATACTCGAACAACAAACAAAATGGAAGGATCTTTAAAATCGAAAATATAATTGGGAATCTGCGAACTTTAGCATCAGATCGATAAAGATCTATCTGTATCGCTAAAGATTGTGAATATTTACAGACAAAACAAATACCCCGAGATTTTTCTGAACGATCCGATAAAATTGATGAAAATAAGATTTCTCATTTGCGTATTTGCGGGAAACTGTTCATCAATCGAAGAATCCATCATAATCTATAGAAGTAAAGGATCCGCGAAATCGGATTATCGCATGCCAATTAAGTGATAATATTCTTAACGAAATCGCGAATACATTTCCAACCAACACATTTCCCTCCAAAGGATTCCTGTTCGATCGATCGATTGATGAACTAGGAAAAAACAAAGGAACGATACGATACGAACAAATACCCCGGCTTTGTGATCAATCAATCTAAGCGTAATAGCGATAGAGTCAAGCTCATTTTTGGACTTATTAAGGATTCCCCTCCCCCCCCCAAGAGACAATTTCGCCCTTATCCGGATTTATTTAAGCCTCGGCCTTTAAGCCAATTATGCCGCGACATTTTCCTGTATAAAATTATTAATAATACTTTGTTAAATAATATTAGCAATTATCTGTTAAATAAATATTTAACAGATTATAGCGAATGTAGTATATTTAAATTTATATTTAGATCACTACTTTCGTATTCTAATCACGTGATTTTTTTTATAAACGCTCGCTGCGATCCAGCCTTATCTGCGTCATTTTGAAATTATAAGTTGATATTAATGGCTGTTAATTGTTAATTATAAACTTTTAAACCGCGAAAATACAATTATAGTATCGCGGGGAAAAATTTTACGCGCAAAGGAATGCATTGCACACTGAACTCTATACTATATTGGAACGTTAGATGCATAAGAGGAAAGCGACAGAAGAGAAATTTCATCTATGTTCCTTTTCTCATACTATTCGAATAGAAAAGATTAAAGAAAATCATTGACCAATTAGAAGAAAAAAATTATGTTCTATCCTTTATTTTAGAATAATCTTTACATGGCACTTAACATTTCAGTATAATATAAAGTTCAGTTGAATCTGCATCACTTTGCGTTTTGATTCACGTTGAAATTACTGATAACAATAGTTATTACTTTATTAATCTCGAAAGGTTTTATTTAGCAATACTGTATTATCTCGCAGACTGTGTATTATATTTCACTCTGTAAATAAATTTTTTTTATTTTAAAATAATCTCTTATACGAAGGGCTACAGTGGCTCTAAAGTCTATCTACGGCAGGAAACTTACGAATCCAGAGGTAAGGGTTGAATTTAGGCTGTACGATAGCGTTATGTCCGATTATATACATACTCAATTTTATGCACTTTTAATTCTTGAGCAGATGCAAGAATCAAAACAGAAAAATTATGTTATTAATTAAATATTAAATATTTAATCATCAGCAGAGAATGCCAAATTTTAATTTTCTTATCAAAAGAAATAGTTGATATATGAATTGCAAATACAATATTCTGATTAAAGATGTTGAAGTAAGTCTTTTATTTGTGTAAAAACTTTAGTTTCTTTTGAGATTACGTCAGAATTACTTTAATGACTGCTTAAGAATTAAAATATGAAGAGTCAAAACGATTCTTGCACTCTCGTGGCATCTCGAGATGTGTCTTTTTTCCTGTGTAGTTGTGCACAAACGAAGCGTTTAATGATCCCGTTACAAAGAAATTAACTATCCAGTAATAATGCGCTCCGCCTATTCGTACTCGCAAATTAATCACGACTGTTGTAATCGTCGCCGTACCGAAGTTTTATCGTTCTTTTGTTACTTACTCGACTCGACGTTGTAAAAGGCGACCTGACTGTTTCACTGACACGGCTCACTATGCGCTGAAGAGAATACGAGACTGATTGCTGCTAGAGTTTCGTTATACTCATGCGAGTCGAGTGAAATCTTGACGTTTACCCGTAATCGAAATTATTATGATATTTGACGAAGTTCTAGAAGTAGTGACACCGATAATATAAGAATTAGACATTTTTTTATAAAAGCTGGGATATACATAATAAATAATTTAAAAAATTGGTATAAAGAATTTGTATAATTGAATACATACATTTCAGTTTCAAGAAATTGAGACTTTTTAAAGTTATACTTTTTGATTCAAAGAAGTATATTATACCAGATCTTATGATATTTGGAATTTATGCTGAACTTCTAAAAAGCTTAATAAAACCTTCATAAATTCATATATCTAAATGTGCTAAGAATTAGAAATTGAATTTTTGTATAATTCAGGATCTCTTTATCTTAATAAAACTTTTGATCCTTTAATGATTTATTAACAACTTAAGATTTGCTTATTGAAGCTTTTTTGTAAGGTTATTAGCTTATTTGACTTGTATAATCTAAAGCTTGTGTAATTAAAACATAGAGAAGGATCTTGAAATTCAGGACTCGATTACGTGTAACGTTGATCTATGAATGAAAAGTGGATCGTTCCAGTGGATCGGTCAATGTATCGCATTTAAGAAGTTGCCTGAATGTGACTAATTAGTGATAGATTTATGTAAATATTGCCAGAAATATGGAAGCGAGAGCGAGGTTACCCCAGCATGCGAGTGCCAGAATCTATATTAAATCGCGGAGGATTCGTTTCTATCGCAAATAGAGCTTTGTCCTTAAAAAAGCCGAATGTCCTGTTGCGATATTCTATGCTGCGTTGGTGCTATACGTCGATATATTAAATGAACAAAAAAATAGCGTTTGCAAGAATTATAGCGACAAGTTATAATTTTAGAAGATGTAACATTATCGACTTGTCATTATCGTTGCTACAGGCGATAGCGAAGATACCGACGAATATCGCCAAAATAGCATAGAGAAGTGGTGTATCTAAATCTGATTCTCGATTTATCTCGGAAGAAAGTTCACGCGATCGCGAGAGATCTGGCGTGTTCGTCTAATTTTTCGCAAAATCCGCGAATCGTGTAACTTTCTCGCGTATTGAATGTATATGTATATATTATATATATATATATATATATATATATATATATATATATATATATATATATATATATATATATATAGACATATATATATATAGATATTATATATTCGATCGTCGGGAAAAAAAACGTAGCTTCACTCAATAGCCGTACGCAAGTACGCGAATAAATATGATCTACATTCAGACACACATACACGCACACGCGCATCCTGTCCCCGCTCTTGATCGCTTCCGGTTCGTTAACGGCGAAAACAAGGGAACTGCACGGCGATTATATCAAGACAAAGTTAACGGGCCGTTTGTGCGTCCCGACGTTTAATTGTGTCTGTTTTATGTATATTTTGTGATTCTCTATACGCGCGAATAAGTATTGTAGATAATTAATTCTGCGGTTTATTATACTTTATTATTATTTTTATTATTACTATTATTATTATTATTAATATTAAAAAAAAATATAGGTACTAAACCAATATAATTGTTTCGGATACGTTAACATTACTGACATATCTGCGTCTCTTTCCAGATTTCTTCCTTGCGTTTGATATGTTTATGATATTCAATTTTATTTTTATAGAAAATGTTTGTTTGAAATGTTAATTCAGTTTTTTGAAAACTTATACTTTGTATCTTTTATGCGATTTTTTTAAATGTCAAATTTTACAATTTTATTGTTATATAAAAATCAAAAATATGTAAAAGTGACCATAATAATGGTTATTAAATCGTGAATATAATATTTCTGCTTACCTGAATACATCTTGAGAAATATTTTTCATAGTGGTAACATAATTATTAAAATATGAATATTATATTTTTTGTTTATCGAATATATAATTAGGATATATTTAATATATTCAAAGATTTAATAACTATTATTGTATGAAGTAAAATGTATTTTAATCACTTACTGAGATTTTGCTTTGCGATTAAAAAAATGTTTAAAAAAGTTGCGAAAACATAAAAGGTGCAATTAGAACGAGCAGACTGTGGCATGCACTGTCATTGTTTTTATTTCGTGCTGCCCTGCATCCGTTTGTAGTCCAAATTACACTTATTTTGTGTTATTTAATTATTAAAGCTAAATTCTATGTGCGAATAAATATCGCAAACACTGATAAAAGTATCAATCGTGCACTATGCAGTACTCATTTATTAATACGATCATGTAATTAACCGTGTTTTTTAATCGCGCGAGTCGAGATTGCGTGCAGCTTCAGCGTGAAGCCGAGGCATCAATGGTTCGGTGAGTAAATTCATTTATGCAATATTTCCATAAAATTCTTTTATAAAATTGAAAAAGAAATATCTATCTTTTTCAGTTGCAGTTTAATATCAATTGATGCAATTAAACTGTGAATGAAACGTTTTGTTCAGAATACATGATCAAAAATAGGTGAAAGCATAACGACTCCGAAATTATCTTTTGTGAAATATTGTTTTATTATTTTTCACTTAGCAAGTTTTTTTTTATTTTGGACATATATTTTCATACATTCTGTTTTGATACACTCTGTACATACGTATACGATTTATTTTAGTGAATCAAGGTAGGGACCTTCTATCCAATGAAACTAACAAGTTTTATAAGTGCACCATTTACGTTCTCTATTAATAAATAGTGCGACGTACACGTGCATCGTGTCAAAATTATTTCGACATCTTTCAAGTAGTTTATTTTGCGTAATACAGAATGTAAATGTACAAGCAATTAAAGTTGTGAAAATTGTCCGTCTATATTCCGAAAAGAAACGTTGCGCAGTTTCCATTCTTTTGTCAAAACTGTATATACATGTAATTGTGACACATATCTTACAAGATCTTGTAAGACTCTCTCTAACACGATTGACGTATCGAACAATTATCGAATAAACATAAAACATGACCAATGATTCTTTTGACCCGTAATGCAAGTCCTCTCTATAAGAATACGATACGTTCGTTATAGAGTACAAATTGCAATATAATAATCATTGTAACTAGGATGTATACGGACTAGGACTGTATAGAATAATGTCCTGTGAAATACGATTGAAAAAAATGCGACCTCGTGCTTTTCATGCTATTGCATTGCGACGTCTCACGTTGCATTCAAATTTCTACGGATCTGTGAGAATATAAAACTTAAAATTTACGAATATTTACTAATATAATTTTGTATTTTTTTAATTTAAGACTTTTTGAAAATCAAGAATTCATAAACCCAAGAGATCTGTGAAGATATGTAAATATCAAAATGGATGTAATTGGATTCGAGATTCGATAGAGTTATGCGTCTATGAATCTTGAGATCCATACGTCCAAGAACAACTGACTAGATCAAAAGCACAGGAAGACAGATTTACAGGCAATCATTATTCGACGCGCGTTATTGCATATGTAATACGCGCAGAAAACCTACTCATTGCAAACTTACGTTTGCAGATCTGTATTTCTTTCTACATCCAAGACGCTAATAGTTACTTATAATAATATTTTTATCATTTGTTATTTTTTTCCCTATTAACATTTTATACTCGAGCCATAAAGTCTAGATTCATTTGAAATCCATTATTTAAAATTAATCCTTTCGCGTTCAATTTGTGTGCATGTAAAACATAGAAACGTTCTCATATAGAACGTAATTTTTGAAAATGTATGTTATTTTTTTAATTTATATTTTTTATAATTTAATAAAATTTAAATTACTTTTTTTAATTTATACTTATTTATATTTTATAAATGTATAATGATATTAAATAATATAATATTATTTCATAGTACACTTTTATATGCTCGAGTGCAAAATGCTAATTATTATATAGAGAAAATTCGCATTATATGATATATCGGCAGTCCATAGCGGTAAGTTGTCCATTACATTGACGGACAAGAATTATATTAAAAATACAAGTCGATACAATTGATAATCATGAACGATATGACGACATCTTACAGATATTTTTGAGGTTCGTGAATCCGAGATTTTCGATTTTCAGAGACTACACGTTTATATGTATATTTACAAATCTATGAATACAAGAGAAGTCAAACGAATTAAATCCAATGATATAAAATTCAAGGATTCGGGTACTGCAAATGCTCTGATATCCAAATATTCGTGAGATCCGTGAGAATCTCCTTGAATTCAACGATTACAATGTTTAATTATCACAATTGCGTCGCTCATGGCTAGTATCGCGATAAAATCTAAAAATCCGGTATAAAAGAAAAACGAGGGATCGATCGATTTCCACGAGATCAATAACTGATCCGCGGTATTAAGTACAAAATCACTAGTGACATTTACAAAAGATACAAACGGACCGTAATGACTGACGGTCCACGGCACCCGTTATCACACAGTTCGCGTTATCACTGTACAAAATATTGATTCTATTTCTAGTTTGCGAAGTCTTGAGCAATCTTCGTCGAGCGAACGCGGGAGCGGAAATCTCCTTTGCGTCGTTCTCCGCGAAATGGGCTGCTCTCGCTTGGGAGGAGACTTAAACGTTCAAATCTTCCCAATCCTCGATCTGTCGAGGAGTAAGCTCGATCGTGATCGTGGTCAGGGTGCCCAGGAGATCATGCAATCTTGGCGTTAACGGGTTCGCTTGCAAGTCAATGTACTCCAGGGCAGGCGCGTGCCTAAGCTTCTCGACGTCAACATCTGCAAGTAAACCAATGCATTTAGCACGATTTCAAGAAAATCTATCGGGCACACTGAAAATTATCTTTCTGTGTTTATCTGTAATAATAGAAACGCGATATATTCGTGTGAGATTTATTTTCGATTTGTAAAGATCAAAATTGGATTTCATCAAAATTACATCAATTTTTTAATCCTTGAATTAAAACACTTGATATTTATAATATATTTTTATCTTTTAGTAACTGGATAATTTTAAATATTTGGAACATTTTTTTTTAAAGTAATTTTAGAATACTTTGGATATTTTCAGGAAGGATAAGTATATTGAACGACCTGTTCGTTATTTGACAATATTGGGTAAAAGTTTTACGTAATGCTAAAATGATGGATACCAACCGATTATGAAATTGTTGTTGGCGAGAAGTCGCTTGAGATGTGGTATCCGCCAGGCGACAGATGGTAGAGCGATGAAAGTGTTATGTGAGATATCAAGTCTCTCCAGAGCTTGCAGTTCGGCCAGTTCCTCAGGCAACTTGCTCATCTGATTGTGGCTTAAATTCAGTTCTGCAAATGACATGATATTTTGAATAACGCGAGGCAGGAATTCTGCCAAATTTTACAAAAATAAAAATTGCAACAAAAAGACAATTCGAAATTGCATTTTCTGTTCGAAATTGCATTTTCATTTACCAGTGATCAACGAGAATTTCACAGCAAACTTTGGTGGGATTTTCGTGATTACGTTGCCGGAGAGATCGCATCTCTTGAGTTCCGTGTGTCGCATCAAATGGTAGACGGCATCCGGAATTTGCATGAGCTGGCACTCCGACAAGTCTAAAAAGCAAAACGAAAGAATGTACAGTTTCCTGAAAAAAATAACACAAACATACGTCACTTTGAATTAATTAATGTAATTTTGCAGGATTATCGTTAAATTTTTGCTGTGCACAAAAGTTACAGAGTACATTAAAAATCAACAAATTTCAAAATCAACATTTTACATAATTTTAGTGATAAATTTTATGAAACGAATGTCATGCGTTAAAAATAGAATTAATGTGTTCTATTTCAGGAAGACCCGACATGTATATTTTTCGTAAATAATAAAAGCGAGGACCATTATCCTTCGCAGTCATATATTTGTCAACATTACACATATTCTATTATTTATTATACTTTTTTCTTCAGTTTTATTGCTCATGTCCGAGCGTGGTGATCTCTGTCTCTCATATACCTGGTGCGTACGTATGATGATTATACACAGGTATATGGGATCTACCTAGCCGATTTCGAACGGCAAATTTTTGATATGAGAGACTCATGACAAAGTTACTTTCGGTAATTTGCCATTGTCTTCCGAGAGGAAACGAGCGTAAATATTTGACTCTGCCGAAAATCGAACTTGGGACCTCTGGCATAGTAGACCAGTCTACTATGCCATTTATTATACTACAAATATTTATTTTTTGTTAAACAGAAATGAATATAATAATATTACACTACTTAATTCTTTAATATACACAATTGTTCTTTAATATACAAAATACAGAATCTTTCTTCATTGTCAATAAATATTATTCAAGAGTCTATCCATCTACAAATATCGATAATGAAAAAAATATTAAATGGAATAAACAAAATCGCAATTTTTTGCGCAATATAAAATATATTTTTATTCTAACATTTTATTTTGCAGATGTTGATTGAAATGAACAAAATTCTACTTAAGCGACTCGAACTTGAAGAGAACACATCATCCTTCCGCGCTGATATCACATCCAATAGCATCAGTATCAAGCTATAATAATGAAATTGTAAAAGTGTTCCGTCATTCGAAAAAATAAGAGAACGCCAGTCTAGGTGCATCATAACGGCTGAAAGTACACTTAACGTCAGCGCGCCACGTTTCACGCTTTCTCCGGCGCGGTTTCCAGCACGGAAAACGCTGAAGCTAACTTGAACGCGTTACGGAACAAACGTATTCCACGTTATATATTTATCAATCATCGCGATCATCGTAACGTCGAGGTTCCGGGAAGATAACGAACGTACACGGAATTGTACGGATTTGGTAACCCGTGGAACAAACGTGGATCCGTTAACGCTTCGCAAAGTCGAAACAAAATTGCATCTCACTGAATTCTAATAACTGAAAAAACTGGAACTTCACATATCATCCTCTTTCTCTCCGAGGCTGTCGCGCGGTTTGATTTATATCGATGAGAAACGCTCGTTTCGCAAATCTGGAACATCGAAATCCGTAAATCTGACGCAAAGAGAAAACTGCACTGATTATACAATTATACAATCAAATTTCTTCGGATTAAGGCATTGTTGTGCCACGCCAATCGCATTTTCGTAATTCCTGCTACCTGTCCCGGTCGCGCATCAATGCGGGGCGCGTTAAACGAAAAAAAAAAAAAAAAAAAAAAAGAAAAAGGGGAACAACACACCGGAAATCGCCATCGCGCGCTTGTGATGAATCCACGTTGTGGTCGCGTATCAATAAATTTTCTGCCGAATTTCAAATCGCGAGTGGAGAAGGAATGGCGAACGACTTTCATCGAATTCTGTAATTTACCAAGGCTCTCGTTCTCCTGCGCCTCTTCGCAGCGAAGAACCACTCTCGTCACGGCGTTCGCCATCTTCACCGTCGTCGTACTGACTCACCGATGCGATTCCGACTGCGTTCGAAACATTTATTTCCGTGCGTGCTCGCCAAAATAAATCTCACCACCTGACCGACCGTGATAGTCACTCATCGCGTTTCGTTCTTGATAATCGGGAAATCGAGCGGAAAATCGGAAAGACGCGAAGTTTCCACGATAGCCAAACGCATTTCTGCATCTATTTCAAAAATCGAAAATTTAGGATATCTCGTGATCTCGTAAATGTAAGAGTTTAATCAAATAAAATTTTACTGGATGTTTTTTAACATATGATAAGAAAATAGATGTGAAAGTAGACATCAAATTATCACTTTTTGTTTGCCACGTCATTTCCGGAAAGACCAATTGTTCTGATTCATTTGGTCTTGCATTTAATTTTGATAAAATTTATTTTTTATGAGTCATAATGTTTTTGTCGAAGCTCTTGAATTTGTACGATTGTGTTCCTTAAGTTTTGTTTTATCAATAATTTTAGATTTTTAGATATTAAATGTAAGAATAGAAAAAGAAGATGCAATTTTATATTACTATATTACAAAAATTATTTTTTGTTTTTTTGAACGCATTTTTATTTTAATGCAAAATTCGCGAAAGTAAGTATATAAGTTTTAGATTATAGATGATATATTTTACTTGTTGCATGACATCTTATATAATTCTTATCAAAAATTTAAAATTAAATAGATTTTACAACACAAGGTGAAAAGAGAAAGGCATAATTTAATACTAATTTATAAATAACATTCTTCATTCCTTTTAATTCCTTTTAATTTTCATTTTTATATAAATTGAAAACAATTCTTTTTTTTTGCAAATGAATATTTAAACTGTATTAATTATATTGTACCATTGCTGGATATCTTATATAATTTGCACAAAAGCTAAGCAAGAGTGAAGCGTTCGAGCGGGGGAATTGTGCAATTAGTATAAAAGTCATTGTGCAATTAATACGAAAGTTACTTTTCGCCATTGCTTCTACAACTAGTTAATAGTACGTACGATCGATTTTCTTTGCCACAAAGTAAAAAGGACCTAATAACAAGCTGCCATTTAAGGTCGCGAGACCCTATACGGAAACTTCTCGTAGGCACGTTTATGCGTATCGCGTTGGAAAGTTTCTGCGTTTCTGGATTTGCACCGTATTTTTCTTTTGCACACATTCTTACTCTCGGCCTTAAACGGAGCAATGTTTACGTAGATCAAATGTGATAAGACAAAGAGAAATATTTTATGAAATAAACTTATTTTTTCTAGATCAATATCGAAGACTTAATATTTAATTTATAATATAATAATATCAATTTATATTACATCTCTGCCAGCATACATAAACGTACGGAATTAGAAATCTATGATTTACTATCAGTTTGTAAACCAAGAAATCAGAGATGATGCTGGTAGATCTGTGAGATTTGTTGCTAACGTTACGTAGTCATTTTTATCGTTTCATTTGTATCGTGTTTTATATATATATATATATATATATATATATATATATATATATAATAATGACATATAAAAAGGTTCATAAACAGGAACAGCCTTCTAGCTGATATTCGGAACGCATAGAACAGCATTGCCAAGGCTCCACTTTACTATTCCGAGATCGACCTTTTGTGCATCGGGTGTCTCAAAAATACGCACGGATCAATCGGATATCAGATGAAGATACGACCGAGAGATCATCGTTGTTCCGCGAAGCTTACGAGAAGAAAAGAGACAAAGACCGGATACGCACGTTGTGTAATGTAATGTTTATCCTGTCAATTATCTATGCCGGAGTTGCGAAGCGAGCATTTCACTTTTATCCGGGCTGATGCTCGAGAAACGCCACCCGTTTATTTATCCGCTTCTGCGTAACTTCACTGGAAGCTTCATAAGTCTTCAATTTTATTAACCGTTATGTAGTAAGAATTCCACTTTACAAACATCGGAAATATATTATATAAATAACGTAGAACGTTTTTAATCAACTAGAAATCAAGGTATGTTAAAATCTTTAAAACTCACGTACTTTCTTTTACTTCTCGACATTAATTTATCGTTGTAATTACATCATCATGATCTGTTTCATAAATCATGTATTCAGAAACATTAAGTGAGAGAGGAAGATAAAGAGAGAGAACATATCTTTTGATTCTCTGTCACTTTTGACGCATTTTCTTTCCATATCGTTTTATTATAGCGTAATCTTGAATTTATCTTCTTTGTCTTTAACAAGATTGATATTTAAGGTAGAACGGAAATATTCTTCACGTACTACGTGATTGCTTTTGCACGATGAGTGCGTCATTGGCGTGATCCGTACTTTCTACGGAACTATGTTATAATGTTTTTTGTCAGGCCGCAACACAGGAAATCGTTGCGTCCCGACGCTCGGCGATTGTAGATCAATTTTTATTAGTCGTTACTTGCTTCCCCTTTCTTTTTTTTTGCAATGCGTAACTACGTGTGTAGTGTTACGACGCGTGTGAGAAAGAGCGTATTCTCGAAGAAAGTAAGAGAGTTCGTTAGCCGTATAAAGCAAACTGAGTCACCGATAATGCAATAGATAAGATAGACAGAATTAATGACAATACGCAGAAAGCCGTTGTTGCGATCTACCACTTGTCACCTGCGATATTTTTACCTGTCGCAATCCGATAATTCATTTATACTAATTTAAGTCTCACATTTGTATAGAAATTGCGTTCTACATATCTCCACATTTTTCAGCTTTTGATAGAATTTTCAATCAGATTTACGATAGCATGGATTTTTAACAAATTTTTGCTATAATCACTAATACCATAAATCTTCGATTCCATAAATAATTAGATTTTTGCTAGTTAAATTTTTAATGTTAATGGAAACAAAGAAATCAATGAAATAGATAAATATCATGTTTTTAAATTTAAAGGATTTATGAATCTCTTAGCGTTTTCTCATCAGATGTTTGATACCATAAATTTTTACTTACTACTTTACAGATTTTTAATTACTGTAATTTTTTAATTTCAAGATCTTGTGATTGTGATGTGTCCAAGTTATAGATTTCTGATTTCTGTAGAAACTAACATTATGAATTCTGAAAACTGTTTGAAAATTTTTGTAATTTTAATTTAATTTCAATGATTTTGACCAACTTATCACGAATACTTGTCCAACATTTGTTATCTGTTTTTAATCTCCGAAAAATGTTTCAAATTTTTAAGATCCTTCAATCTGTTTTCAATGTTTTCAATGTTTATAATGAAATTGCGTATGATGCCAATGTAATCTATGAAGTACGTTTTATGAAAGATAGTGAGTCACAAATACCGGTACATTAAAGCGTTGCCGATCAAGGTCGCGGTGTGCGCAGACGGCGTTACAGATAAGGCAAGGGTGGAAATTATCTCGAATCAGGAAGCAAGTTGATAATGGCGTATGCATATATGACGTTTATTCGCTATCTCGTTATCGATAATTAATTGTTTTTTGATTCACGAACGACTTTATCTAGGAGCGACTTTGTCTAGAAGCGACTTTGTCAAGATTCAGAATATGTGTTTCAATATTCCAAAAAGAAACATTTTTTGAATGACTTGGTATTCTTCACACTCGACTTTACCTAAATTGCAATTATCCTGGGCTTCTTCACATCGTGAAACTACCCTGATGATCGCGCGACCAGCGAGTTGCACACAAACTGCCATCGCCACGTTCCTCTCGCCCTGCTCCTGCGAGATCTGCTGCACCTCTTCTTCGTTATACGGCGGCCTCATGTTTCTTCGCTATATGCAAAATTTAGAATTTACGGCAACAAACTCGCAAGGGACAATTTTTTGAGTTTGCGACAAAAATCAGCACCGATCTTGCACACTAGCAGTAATTTGTCTTACTCAGTTTCTATTGTAACCGCTAGAAGAATATCTATAAGCTTCAATTAAATGCTTACTATTTTTCTTATGATTTCTTATAACTTCTTATGACTTCTTATATCTTCTTGTGACTTTTACATTTGTTAGGTAATCGCTGTGAGTCACTTGTAAAAGTCAAAGCGATCGGCAAGTCCGCATACTGAAGATATAGGAAGAACTCAGTCGGATGAAGATCCAGTGAATCTATTGTGGAAGAAATCAATTTAGATGGATATTCCTGTGCGCAAAGATTTTCTCAGAGCGAAAGTCCACGCAGATTTCCAAAGAATATTCTTTCTTGCGAAACCTCCTTTCGGGACTCGAATTTAATTCGGACAAGGTTGAAGCATTTCTCGATGGATTTGAAGAGACGCGGATTTCCGATTTCTTCACCGATGATACGGGGTCATTTGGGATCTCGTGTAATTTCAGGATTAAATCCAGGACCAAATCCACCTCCGAGCGCGACTCTCGAAAAATCCTCGTACTCGCGTGCGAATTTCAATGGGACGCAGATCCGGTCAACTTCCCGCGCGACTTGCAAGGACCTCACTAGTCCTCGGAGTTTCGTACCTGAAAACTATCCACAACCGCCGAGATTCGTTTCAGGTGACTCCGTTCGACACTAGCCTGCACGAGTGTTCGTGGTGCTATTTAAGCCTTCGCCACTCCCCCTCCCCTTCCCCTTGCCACCATCGTGGAAGCGTCACGAAACAGCTGACTACTTGTGTCTGAGACTTGTGTCTGTATTCACTGTCTCTCTCTTTGTTTGAAAACAAACGCAGCCAGATGACTGCGCGACATGCAAGCTGTCAAATTCGACGTCGGGATTTCCGCGTTTAGCTCAAGACTTTCCTGATGTTTCCAGAGTTTCTTCGAGGTCTCTTCAGAGTCTTTTGAAACTTGGAGAAAAATTGTCAATTAATAAATTATTTTTTTCAAATAAGTTAAATTCGATTTAAGCCTCAAATTCAACGTTTAAATTAAAATCGTGTTAAATTCACGTGTTAATTTTTATTTCTTTCCTGTTTTAGAAGTTCTTTAAAAGTTTTTCTTAGAATTTCTTTAAACTCTTTACCATTGAGATTTTTCTGTTAAAATTGTCAATCATAATTATTATAATTATTCTACGCTAATTATTATAATTATTCTGCTTTCTTTTAAAGGAGAAAACAAGTTTCTTCAAGAACAAAAAAACTTCAACGTTAAAAACTAGCTATTTAATTTCAATTAAATTCAATAAAATTCTTTAAAGATTTCTCAGAATTTTAATATAAAGAATGTAATTAATTTTGAAATTGTATGAAATTCATCAATTTCAATTTTATGTAATAAACCTAAATAATGAAATTATACTGTTATATAAAAAAATCAAAATTATCAAATACAATATTTTCTAATTTATATTTTAAGCTTAAAGATTAAAGCTCAAAAATTCGTCAGATACAATTTTGGTTTCACTTCATAGAATATGACTCATCTCGCGACATGACCACGTAGCAATCAGGCTGACAAAGTATCGTTAAAGAAAAAATTTTCAAGATTACACAGCGAGTAAAAAAGCTCCAATCTTGACGCGCATCGAGCTTTTCGACGGCGTAGTTTTCCGAACAAAGAAGTTTTCATAACAAGGTACATATCTTCTGCTACAAAGCACTTTATTATTTCTTCTGTAACTTTACTCTTCATGCCATTAAACATAATCTCCATAGATATCTTTTTTGTTCATAAAAATATTGTACTTAATTATTGTTTAAATATCTTAATTATAATTGTTATACGAATGACAAATAATATATATGTATAATTCTCAAGAAACGTAAATAGAAGAAGATATCAAAAGAAGATCGTGATGCTAAACGTTAAGTCAAAATTTTCGAAGAGATACGAAGATACATTCGTGTACACGGAACAGATGCATCCGGTTTCTCCGTGTGAATTTGTTCACTAAAACTGACATACGAAATGAAGATCGATAATACTATGTAAATCGTGTTGCGTCAGGGCAAACTGCCCACTGCGCCATTCCGGATTCCATTATCAATGCTATCCCTAAAATATAGCACGCTATTTTATCTTTGTTTAACAAGTTTGTTACAAACTGTAATATATTGAAAAATTAATTGATATAAACTAGGCTTTTATATTTTTCCACAGAGTTTCTCAAAAGTCTCGTGAAACTGACTTTGCAAAATAATTCAAAGCTCGCAGTAAATGTTTACTACCTTTGCCACGTGCAAGTTAGTTTATTATGTGCAATTCAGTGCAATATTTGGAAGATCACATCAGAGAAAATCGTGCGTCACTGTTTCGCTGTAATAGTGAATTATCGTGCAAATGTCTCGATGAATTTGCGAAATTGCCAAAAATTAAATCGTGTCTCGCGGTACAAAACGACGCGAGTGCGCAATCACGTTTAATTTTGGCCAACATCGCGAAGAAGTGAGAGATCAATTGTCTTTAGGTGTTTTCCGTAAATCTGTTGCATTGTCAAACTATCTTTTTTTTTTATTTAAAGCTGAATTACTTTTACAAAATTATATTTTTGTTTTTTGTTAAAACGTCCACGATACTCAATATATAAAATAAAATCCATTGTTTCTTCCTTTCGCTGATTTCTTTTTCTTCTTTAAACGTTTCATTCGTAATTGAAGTCTCGCGTATTTCTCGAAAAGACGAGAAAAGAGAAAAACAACAGAGACGCGTTGGTAAGATGAATCTCGCTACCGTCTGCAACCCCACTCGAAGCGCTTCTTCTTCCCCTGCGTTAGAGGACTTTGCTCTCCATTCATTGTGAAGCTCAGTGCTCAACAGGGACAAAACGTTTATGCGGATCCGCGGTATGTTTGGCCCGCAGCCAGAGGATACTGCGCGTACATCTCGTCGACGAAAATAGATAGCCGCGTACCAAAATCCCCCATGACTTCTCTTTCGTCGTTTTCGCCTCTTCGTTGCGACGTCGGATATGAAATGATAAAGAGGAGGAGAGGAGTCGAGGATCCGATTTATAGTATCAGAGTATTCTTGAATTCTTATAATCTTCCAGACTCTTAGATCACTGGATTTTTAGATTTTTAAACATTTGTAATTTATAAATGTAAGGACTTGATATTCCAACACTTTAAATTCCTGAGCTTTTAAATTTCCTTGGGAATCTTGATCTGGCATTTTTAAACCACGTTTGAACCACGTATATTTATATTATATTATTATTATATTAGCTAGACTAGGACAGAGAAGAGAGAGAAAAGAAATAATTTATTTAAGTTTTCTTTCAACTGCATTAATATTTAAATTTATGGACCTTCATAATTTCTATCGGTACGTCAATGGATGCACGTGCAGAAGGAAGTCTAGCATCTTTACTGTTTCTGCGTTGGTCGGCTGACTTCCGTTTTCATCTCTTTCTTTCTGTAACGAAGAAGAAAACGGGGGAAGAAACGGGGGAGAAGGAGGAAACGTCGGAGGAAGACACCTTGGCTCGCACCCTCGCCAACTAGCGTACGTTGGCCCTGCGGAATCGTCGTCGCTGACGTCCGTTCGTTCTTTGTAGCACGCGGCCGCGTGTTCTCACTACTGCGTCTTTCGGTTTTCGCTGTTTACCGGGAAATCGTCCACACGAATGATGATTTCACAAACGGCAACGGCGAACACGTGCGTCTCTTTCCTTGACGTTATTCCTATTCTGTGTCACTTTATTTTCATTTAAGATAACAAATTGATATTACAATTTATCCTTGAATTATATCCTTGAGATTCGTAACGAAACACGTAAGGAAAACGGCAAAGAATAGCTTTTCTAAAGCGCCCCTAAAATTTATCTAGAAAATAATTTTGTTAAACGTTTAAGTATGGTAATACTGTAAAAAGTTTTTATATTGTAAAATAATTTATTTAAAACGTCCTATATAAAATTATTTAAAAAATGCCTGAGAAAATTCTTTTCAGATCTATATATGGTCAAATTTTTCAATACTTTAGCAAAATTGTTCTTTCCTTGTAGATTTTGAAAATATTCAGGGAATATCACAAAAATCTATTTATCCTTCAATTATTCTCAAAATATCTGTTATTAGGGATTTGTTTTAAATCTTTCTTGAAAATTAATTTTTGTTTCAATATTGCGGAACGGGAATGAAAGCGAAAATTTATGAAAAAAACAGGTAAGCAGGTACAACTAATACGAGACTAATTGATTGCGAAAGACTTGATCCATGCGTTCTCATCAAGGACGCACAAGACCGCGACAGAAATGTCGTTCGCACTTGTGACGCGCATTCACGCGACCTCGATTTTCGCGAATGTCTATTTTTCATCGCGGAATTTCCCCGGCGCGAACAACACGGTCCGACGACGCGGCCCGTCCTGCCTTGGTGACTTTTATTGCGACTTCTGTATCTCTTCAGCACCACCGGACGCCAGGCTCTTTCGTAGAGCACGTGCGCTTTTATACGAGGGTGAATCAAAAAGTAAAGATACAAAAATCTCTCTCGCGCAAACAAAGTGCAGCTTGTACGAAATGCACGTTTGTTAAGATGCACGAAATCCTACAGAGTGAACATCCGGTCGTTAATACATCATAATGTCTCGTTTTAATACTCGCTCGAATTCTTACAGAGAATATTAGCCAACTTATAAAAATTAATTTTAGAACATAAGAACATATATTCAACATCGCACAACAAAGTAATAAGCTATTTTACATAATAATATTGACATATGATTTGCATTTAATAGTTAAATGCAAATTCCAATTAAGAATCTGGTTTTATAAATCATGCAATCATGCATTTTTAAGTGTAAATAGAATCATTAAAAATAGGAGATATATTCAGGATGTATTATAAATAGTAAGATTTACGACTTTTAACAATCTATATTCACTTTTATATTCGCTTGATGTATAATAACAATTGCGACAATACATTAGTTTGCAATTGCGAAACGCCTTAATATCTTAAATTACAGCCACACAGAAAATGCTTATGGATGGATTTCGCTAATAATACGAAGCTGCCTCGTCTATTAAATGCACTGTGAACAATTAAGTTAAATACAGTCAAAATTTATGTAATTTCTTCGCTGGTCGTCGTATCAATGACATCGACTTAGGCCAAAGCGGTAAACTTCTTTGATTATAGATTTAACAGTCAAAGATCTGTATGCATTCAGCGCGTTTAACATTACATGATCACTCAATTGCCATCAGCAAGCCAAATTATATTTTTCGCGCATATAGAGATTGGCATGAGAGAATCATGTCTGATGTTAACTATAACGCCAATTTTTTCACTTTCAACTTTCTCAATATCATAAACACATCTTTTCTTCAGTTTCAGTGTGCAAATATATAGTTTAGTTCAGTATAATTGTTCCAGTTCATAGATATGTTTTGCGTTTGTGATTTCAGTTTGGCACCATCTGCGATTCTTAAATAAAATACTGAAAAACATCAAATCATGGCATCTATTTTCACTTTCTTTAAATAATTCCGAAAGTGAATTATTTAATAAATAAAAATGGTAAACGGTGGAATGTGTAATGTAATTAACGAGATGTAGAAAGTAGTATAGATATTAAAATCACTTTTGTCAAACATTTTTTTAAAACTGA